CTCTCTCTCTACTCTCTACTCCTCCTACCTCTCTCTCTCTCTCTCTCTCTCTCTCTCTCTCTCTCTCTCTCTCTCTCTCTCTCTCTCTCTCTCTCTCTCTCTCTCTCTCTCTTCTTCTTCTCTCTCTCTCTCTCTCTTTCTCTCTCTCTCTCTCTCTCTCCTGCTGGCCCTACACGCCCGGGCCGTACGCATCATCATCATCAGCAGCAGCAGCAGCAGCATCGGCAGCAGCAGCGGCGGCAGTAGTAGCAGCATTCGCAGCAGCAGCAGCAGCATCCGCAGCAGCAGCTGTAGCAGCAACAGCAGCAGCAGCAGCACGGTTTACGACCGACGCACGCACCTGTTTTACGACATCGGCATGTTTGCGACATCGCCGGATTTACGACCGGTGACGGCCGCTGCTGCTACCGCGAATTATTTACGCCTTATTCGACATGATTCGGAGATTTCTAGGAGGAGACAGGATTTGGAGACAGGATCTGTTGGCAGGGCGGAACACGGAGCTGTTGCTTACACAACTGTCCGTTGGTGAGGTGGTGGTGGTGGTGGGGCGGGGTCGCGTGTTGCACGCCTGCCACGATAACAACAGGTAGGTACATAGAAACGCAAATATCAGGTAAATACAAACACGCACGTGTACGCGGGGTTGCATGGAGTCAGGAATCGCGAGATATCAGCGCGAATGTCTAAATACCTACTCATCGCTCAGCAATGCTTCTACATATCACCCCCACCCCCCGGCGCGCAACACAGCACACACACACCACGACAGGCGCACGCAAACACACACGCACACACCCACGCACAGACACACGAAGCACGAGCGCACAGCGCACAGCGCACATCACACTACAAACTACACAAACACACCCCACACACACACCACACACGCACTGACCAACACGCTCAGCGCACGGCGCAAACACACACACACACACTACCAATCACACTACACGCTGCTGCGCGCACACACGCTCGGTCGCTCGCTCACTCACTCACTCACGCATTCACTCTGTAACCGCACTCACTCACTCACTCACTCACTCAATCAATCAATCAATCAATCAATAAATCACTCACGCACGCACTCACTCACTCACTCACTCACTCAATCACGCACTCACTCACGCACTCACGCACTCACCCACTCACTCACTCACGCACTCGCGCACTCATTCACTCACTCACTCACTCAGCCCCACCCACGACGAGCTCACTCATAACCCCAATCAGCATTCGGGAGTTCCCTTGACATTGCCTATATATTAGCATCCGAAGCCCTCGAGACTTCGGCCACACGCGGACACGTACGCGCCTGATAGCGTTGCTTGACAATGATTAGTTGATTCCGTGGAGATAAGGCGACGATGTAATTGATCGCATTAAATATCGCATTACACGTCGAATTTCTCGCTCATACTCGCGCTGAGTGACTGAGGGCCAGGACAGGAAACCCTATATAGGAATAGCACGTGTGCGCCGGATACGCGAATGCGTGCACATTTGCTAGCTTACAAGTGGCATGCGCGCGTCCGTGCAAATATACTAAAGTGCAGCGATATAGACAAGAGCGAAAAGGTGCGCGCGCGCGCGCGCGTGTGTGTGTGTGTGTGTGTGTGTGTGTGTGTGTGTGACTGTGGTGTGTTGTGTGTGTGTGGTGTTGTGTGTGTGTGTGTGTGTGTGTGCGTGTGTGTGTGCGTGTACGTGTATCTGTACGTACGTATGTCTATGTAAACATATAGGAATATCGTAGCATAACTAGTACACTAGGTTTGTTTGTTGCTTACCTCCGTCTTCGGCTGCTGCTGCTGCTGTTGAGAAGCACGTAGTCGCGGCTAGGCAGACGATAACAGCGACTGCTAATCCAAGCCGCCCCATCGCTGTGTGTCCAAGCAGCGCGGTGCAGGACATACTACTACTGCTGCTGCTGCTGCTGCTGCTGGTGGTGGTGGTGGTGCTACTGCTGCTGCTGCTGCTGCTGCAACCACTCCTGGTGGTGATGTTCCTGTTGATGCTGCTACTGCTGATGATGTTGTTGCTGGTGATGATGATGCTGTCGTCGCCGCTGATGCTGCTGCTTCTGCTGCTGCGGCGCACGATCTCTCTCTCTCGTGTGCTCTCTGTCTCTGTCTTTGCCTCAGTCTACCTTTTTTCTCTCTCTCTCTCTCTCGTTCTCTCTCTGCTCTGTCTCTGCCTCGCGATCTCTCTTTCTCTGCTCTGTCTGTGCGTGTGTGTGTGTGTCTGCGCCTGATGTCGTCAGACGCTACCCAACACTACCGTGTGCAGGTGCGCGCGCGCGCGTACGTATGTGCGTGTACGTGTGTGCGTGTTTCTCCGTGCGCTCGCGCTTACGGGCGTGCGTGCGTGCGTCCGTGTGTGTGTGTGCGCGCGCGAGGTGATGTATTCACTTCGGTGTCGGAGCGACGTCTGACGTCGGCACGATCGGCGGGCTGGCAGACGAACATGCGTGCTCGCATCGCAGCGACGTTATGAAGACCCCGCGGCACTGATGACGTCACCACGTCACGTGATCGCCTCTTCGCGCTTCCGGTCGGTGACAGCTTGTAAATTATCCCGCACTACTATTATATCAACTAATGAGCAGGATCCTCAGGAATTCATTGGTAATATTTGCGACGTAATATAATCACGGATTTACGCAAACATGTCATGCTGTCTGATCAATTGACTATTGATCGATTATTCTCGCGACACAAGCCGGTCACGTGACAGCGTCCGGCGAACAAACGAGGCAGCAGAAGTTCATTACACGTAAACGCGCTTTTAATTGTTATTAATTATTAATTTAGATTCCCACGCGCTTGCATGATAATGAGAGATGAGAGAGTTACGGCGTCATTAGCTGGATATGCCCAGAGCCACACGTCCAGCTTCCCCCTTCAGCGCCCCTCCCTCTTACCCCGTCTTCACCCTCTCCCCCGCTCGCCCCACCCACACACACGTCCAGTTTCCTCCTTAAGCGTCCACCCACGCTCCCCCCTTCACCCTCTCCCCTGCTCGCTCCACACACACGTCCAGTTTCCTCCTTAAGCGTCTACCCACGCTCCCTCCTTCACCCTCGCCCCTGCTCGCTCCGTGCCCTCACACTCACTAGGGACACCGCTACTACACACGTTAGCGCATCGCCGGCCTGATGACGACGTATTTCCTGGACTTCCGAAGCTCTGCTTCGAATATTCGCTCTCACATCAATATGCAGATGATAAATATAAGGTTTCACCTCCTATGGGTATACATAGGCCTATATATATATACATATATATATATATGTATACGTATATATATATATATGCACCTGAAGATATTGAGAGATTCCATAACTATGAAAGCGCTTGTCTAAAACTAAATGTCGGATTATTCTTTTTCTTTATTCTATGTTAGAACTGAATATCGTGCAACCTAGGATCATTTCTACTATATAGGTATATATATATATATATCTATATATATATATATATATGTACTTATGTATATATATATATATATATATATATATATAT